GTCGTCCTCCTCCCTCCTCCTCCTCCTCCTCCTCCTCCTCCTCCTCCTCCTCCTCCTCCTCCTCCGCCTCCTCCTCCTCCTCCCTCCTCCCTCCTCTCCTCCTCCTCCTCCACCCTCCTCCCTCCTCCTCCTCCTCCTCCTCCTCCTCCTCTCCTCCTCCTCCTCCTCCTCCTCCTCCTCCTCCTCCTCCTCCTCCTCCTTCCTCCTCCTCCTCCTCCTCCTCCTCCTCCTCCCTCCTTCCTCCTCCTCCTCCTCCTCCTCCTCCATGCACCACCCCCCTCGTCGTCCTCCTCCTCCTCCTCCTCCTCCTCCTCCTCCTGCTCTCCTCCTCCACCCTCCTGCCTCCTCTCCTCCTCCTCCTCCTCCTCCTCCTCCTCCTCCTCCTCCTCCTCCTCCTCCTCCTCCTCCTCCTCCTCCTCCTCCTCCTCCCCTCCTCCTCCTCTTCTTCCTCCTCCTCCTCCTCCTCCTCTCCTCCTCCTCGTCGTCCCCCTCCTCGTCCATCTCCTTCTCGCTCCTCCTCCTCCTCCTCCTTCCTCCTCCTCCTCCTCCTCCCTCCTCCTCCTCCTCCTCCTCCCCTCCTCCCCTCCTCCTCCTCCTCCTCCTCCTCCTCCTCCTCCTCCCCCCTCGGCGCGCGCCGCCAGCGCCACCCCCTCCGGGCCCCTCTCGGATCCGCCCCCGGAGCGGGCAAAGAGAGGAGGGGGGGGGGGGCGCGGCCCGGGGAGCGCTGGTGTTCAGCGCGGAGCCCCGGGTCCCTGCGTGTGCCGCCCGCCCGCCGGCTGCTGCTTGGGCGGCTGCGCGGGGCGGCGCGCGCTGCGGAGAGGAGGCCAGCTGCTCGCAGGGGTGACCCTGGGCAGGAGTGGCCCTGTGCGGGCTTCTCGAACCTAGCTCGAGCGGCAGGGCGGAGCTCGGGCCTCTCGAGACTGCAGGGCGGGGCTCTCTTTTTCACGCCCGCCCTCCTCACACAGGAGAGCCCAGCACCTGCCCAGGAGCCCGACGTGGCGCAGAAGCACCGTTCGAAGCAGACGTGCACAGGGCAGTGCAGGATTAGGCCCCTGTGGGCCCGCACCAAAGGTCACCCCGGCGAAGGGCCACACCCTCACGCGTAGCGAGGGGTTGTGCCGACGTGGGTCGCGCGGGCGCTCGCGAAATCACCATGGAAGCCTTCGGTGGAGCTCCCCATGGGGTCACGAAACGTGAGAGGGGTGTGCCGAAATGGTTCGGGTTGACGCACGCGAAATCAGCACGGAGGCAATCGGTGGAGCTCCATATGGGGCCACGACAGGTGTGAGGTGTGTGTGTGTGTGTGTGTGTCTCTGCGTGTGTGTAACGTGTGAGGGGCGTGCCGACGTGGGTCGGGCGGACGCCTGCGAACTCATCACGGAGGCACTCAGCGGCGCTCCCTGTGGGGCCACGCAAAGCGCGAGGGGTGTGCCGACTTGGGTCGTGACGGCGCACGCGAGCTCACCACGGAGAAACGGTGGAGCTCTGTATGGGGCCACGAAACGAGGGCAGAGGCAGGGATGGTGGAGGGAGGATGGCGAGGAGGAGTGAATAACGCCGGGCGCTGTCTCTTCAAAACGAGGACCCAACACTAGGGGATTGTAGTGACATGCAAGAGTACCCCCAGCAGCGCACCCGAACTGCAACAAAGGTGAAGAGGCAGGCGGGATAGGGGTGAGAGCACGGCCAGGTGCACCCTAGTGCATCATTGTGCAATGCAAAGGGATTGTGGCCGTCTGGACCAAACATGTAGCCGGCATTGAGACGAGAACACGGCCACGTGCACCGTAGTGCATGTTTAAGCAAAGGACCGTGGCCGTCCGGACCACAAGTGTAGCTGGCACTGACGCGAGAGAGCGACTCCCGAACAACTTGAACAGACATCTCAGGCGAAGCGGCTGCCCGACCAGGCGCCCTCGGGCTAACCGTTCGTTCCCCCCTGTGGAGCTCGTCCGTCGTCCTTTTTCAGAGAAGAAAAAAAAACGGCATGAACATCAAACTTTCGGTGCTCCGCGCTCCGCGCTGGACCCCGCCCTGGTGCGCGTAGCGCGCCAGGGGCGGCGCTGGAGGCGCCGCCAGGGGGGGGGGCAGCTCTCGCGGCCCCGGTGTCGGAACGGCAGGACGCGGCCAGGATGCAGCTGCTGGGGCTTAAGGCGGATGTGGTGCCCCTGCACGTCCCCAGCACTCCCGTGGTGCGGAGAGCTTCGAAGAGGCCCCACGGCACACGCTGACACCGCGCGCCCGCCGAAATCAGGGCCGCGCCTCTATCCAGGACGATGGCGGGGTCGGCGCTCTTTCCTCGAGGTGGGCAGGCCAAGAGGCCGGTCGCACACGAGCTGAGCTCTGAGCAATGATAAGACCCAGAATGATCAGGCTCAGCCCAACACAGAACGACCAGGTGAGCAGAACAATGATCGTGTTGGGAGGAAGGGGTTGGGAGGATGAAGGGCATGAGCAATCGCATCCTGATGCAATGAACGCTACCTTCGGCCGCCTACGGGTAATGATATCCTCATTACTCCCATCCCCATCCTCCCAATCCTGTAGCTGTCCTCCTGAGCGGCGCAGCCGCAGAATGCAGCGAGCGTCACAGGATTCAATGCCGACGAAGTCCAGTCGGCACGCGAGCCGAGACGAAGGAGGAGGAGAAGGAGCGAGAAGGAGATGGACGAGGAGGAGGAGGAGGAGAAGGAAGAGAGGAGGAGGAGGAGGAGGAGGAGGAGGAGGGGAGGAGGATGAGGAGAGGAGGAGGAGGAGGAAAGGAGGAGGAGGAGGAGGAGGAGGAGATGAGGAGGAGGAGGAGGAGGAGGGAGGAGGAGGAGGAGGAGGAGGGAGGAGGAGGAGGAGGAGGAGGAGGAGGAGGAGGAGGAGGAGCGAGGAGGAGGGGCGAGGAGGGGCGCGAGGGCGAGACATCGCGGTGTCGCCGCGAACCTCACGAGGGTGCACGCAGAACCCCCTGGACGTCCCTCATGCACCGCCCAAGGAGCCCGAAGCTGTATGTCCGCGCAGTGGAGGAGCGAGGAGGGGCAGTGGGCACAAGGTGCAAAGGAAGGAAGTGGTCTGCGGACGAGCAGGAGACAGGAAGCCAGGTGGTGTCTTCAGGCCCCAACGGATGCTTCTACAGCTCCGCCCTGTCGAGACCCATCTGTGGAGACCAGAACCGTTTCGAATGGCCGTCTGGGATCCAAGCGATCGGCGGGAAAACCAACCAGAGAGAGGGGAGGCTATCTCCATCCTTATCTCCTTATGCCTGTGCCGCCTCTTCCTCCTCCTCCTCCTCGTCCTCCTCCCCATCCTCCGTATCCTACTCTTCCTCGCTTTCTCCTCCTCCTCCTCCTCCTCCTCCTCCACCTCAGCATCATTATCCATCATCATCTTCATTACCATCAACATCATCATCATCATCATCATCATCAGCAGCAGCAGCATCAACATCATCATCATCATCATCATCATCATCATCATCAGCATCATCATCAGCATCATCATCATCATCATCATCATCATCATCATCATCATCATCATCATCATCATCATAATCAACAGCATCATCATCATCAGCATCAGCATCATCATCATCATCATCATCATCATCATCATCATCATCATCATCATCATCATCAGCATCATCATCATCATCAATACCACCGTCCGCCTCCTCATCCTCCTGCTCCTCCGCCACCTCCTCCTCATCCTCATCAGTATCGCCGTCTTCATCCTCATGAAGCTCATCCTCATCCTCATCCTCATCTTCATCATCACCACCTTCAGCAGCTTCTTCTTTTCTGTCAGCATCACCAGCACCACCACCATCATCATAATCAGCATCATCATCATCATCATCATCATCATCATCATCATCATCATCATCGTCAGCATCATCATCATCATCAACACCAACGACATAATCATCTGCATCATCATGACCAGCCTCATCGCCAGCACCACAGCCATCATCATCATCATCATCAGCAGCAGCATCATCATCAGCATCATCATCATCAGCAGCATCACCTCATCACCATCATCACCTCATCACCTCATCAGCATCGTCATCATCATCATCATCATCATCATCATCATCAACATCATTATCGCCACCACCATCGTCAGCATGGTCATCACATCTTCATCCTCACCCTCATCAGCATCACCATCACCAGCATCAGTACCATCAACATCGTCAGCATCAACATCAACATCAACATCATCATCGTCGTCATCACCATCACCAACATCAGTATCATCGTGATCATCAGCAGCATCATAATCATCACAATCATCATCATCATCATCATCAGCTTCATCATCATCATCATCATCATCATCATCATCATCATCATCATCATCATAATCATCATAATCATCATCATCAGCAGCAGCAACAGCATCATCATAGTCGTCGTCAGCGTCAACATCCTCATCCTTCCGTCCTTCCTTCTGTCCTTGTTTCATTCCTCCCTTGAACTCCTCGTCCGCGTGCTCTTTCTCATTTTTGTTCGACCCTTCTCCGCCTCCGCCTCCGCCTCCGCCTCCTCCTCATCTTCCTCCTCGCCTCGTCCATATTATTACCAATGTTCCTCCACCACCTCCTCCTCCTCCTCCTTCTCCTCCTCCTCCTGCTGCCTAATCCTCCACGGCCTACACGGCCTCCTCATCCTCCTCCCGCCTCATCGCCCTCGTCCTGGTCCCGCTCCTGCTCGTCCATGCTCCCCCGCTCCTCCTGCCGATCCGATGCTCCCACAGCCCTCCCGCCCCTCCTCGCTTCACTTTCTCGTCCCCTTCCACGCCCCTCTCCCGGCACCTCCCTCACCCCGCCCTCCTCTCTGGGGATACCAAAAGGTACCCATACCGCTACTCCCCGCACCTCTCCTGGGGTGCGCTCCGACCAAAATTTCGATGCGAGTCCAGCGGTGGCAACGAGGGCCTCTCAGGAGGCCCAGGAATAAGGAAAACGAGGCAAGGGTAGCGTTATCGGTGCCGTTTCCCCCCGCCCTCCTCTCGCCGACCACGCTGGCCCCCCTCGGCGCGCGCGCCCGGACACACTCTGGCGTCGGCTGGGCGCGCGCGGACCCCAGACGCCCCGCGAGCTCCGTCCCCGCGCTCACCTTCGAGACCGGCCCCAACTGGGGGAGTTGTGTGGTCCCTAATGCGGGATGACGATTAATAAACAAAATGGGAGAGAACGATTTAAAAACATAGTTTTCTTCTATGTCTGCATAATTTTCTGACTGGTGGAGAACGATTAAAAAATAGTTTTCCAGCCCGCGGCCGGTCTTTTCTAATCGTCATCCTGGGCGCCGCCGCGTGAACACGACCCCCGGTCATTTATTAATCGTCATCCTCCATTACCTCCTCTGGAAAAAGCGCGTCCCACGGCTCGCAAGAGTGGCTACTCGCAGATGGCCTGGACTCGCCGTGGGGGACTCACGGTCCATTACGTGGAGGAGATGTGCTTTGTTCCGGGCGTCTGCGAGTAGGCACCCTGCGAGCAGTGGCATGCGCTCGGTGATCCCCCCCCGTGGGGAACCGCCGCATCCACGGTCTCTCGAGCTTGCCATCGCTCGGACGTCCTGCCCACGTGCACATGTGTCGAGTTTTTCGAGCGCGTATGTTTTTTCAAGAGGATCCAGAATGCTCCTCTGAGGGGGCCCTGGGACACACAAATAAATACGCATAACTAACAGCATTCCCGATATTTTCCCGTATTATCTGGGTTTTCGTTTTCCCTCCCACTTCCCATATTTTCCAATATTTTCCTGGGAGTCGACGATTAATTGTGTCTGTGTGTGTTTTTCCCCTCCTGATCCTCGCTGCTCCCCCACCGAGAGGGAAAAGGCACACGTCCGAGCAATGCCAAGCGAGGGGCGTGTCGAGGCCGACGGGTCCCCGAAGGGGGGCGAGGAGGAGGGAGGAGGAGGAGGCGAACGAGGAGAAGGAGGAGGAGGAGGAGGAGGGGCGAAGAAGAAAAAGGAGGAAGAGTGAGGATGAGGAGGAGGAGGAGGAGCCGTACATGATAGGCTATCGTCGTAGTCTCGGTGCATGGCCCGGTAGGAGGGGGAGGAGGGAGGAGAGGAGGGAGGATGAGGAGGAGGAGGGGGAGGATAGGAGCGGAGGATTTGGAGGAGGAGGCGGAGAGCCGAGGAGGAGTGTAGGATGATGAGGCGGAGGAGGGGAGGAGCGAGGAGAGAGCGAGGAGAGCGAGGAGGAGCGATGAAGGAGCGAGGATTGAAGGAGGAGCGAAAGGAGGAACGAGGAGGAGGATCGGAGGAAAGGGAGCGAGGAGGAGGACGAGGAGGAGCGAGGAGGAGGACGAGCGAGGAGGAGGATGCGAGGAGGAGTAGCGACGGAGCGAGGAGTAGCGAGGAGGAGGAGCGAGGAGGACGATGTAGGACGATGGACGACCTCGGGGAGGAGGAGGAGGAGTAGGAGGAGGAGGAGGAGGAGGAGGAGGAGGAGGAGGAGGAGGAGGAGGAGGAGAGGAGGAGGAGGAGGAGGGAGGAGGAGGAGGCACAGCAGGAGAGGGAGACCCCGGCTCCCCCCAGTTGGTGGCCGGCCGGCCTCCCCCAGGCCCTCGCGGCGGCGGCGGCCCTCGCGTGGGCGCTGCTGGCGTCCTCCCGCGCCTCCAGCAGCTCCGCGCGGAGCGCGCCGCACTCCGAGGCCAGCGCCCCCGCGCGCCCAGACTCCCGCTCCCAGGTGGCCACAGGCGAGCGCCCTACCCCGCCCCCCCCCCCCCCCCCCAGACCCCGCTCCAGCGGTCGGGCGGGGAAGAGGAGGAGGAGGAGGAGGAGCAGGAGGAGGAGGAGGAGGAGGAGGGGGGAGGCGGAGGGGAGGAGGAACAGGAGCAGGAGTAGGCTGAGGGGCAACATGAGGAGAAGGAGGAGGAGGAGGAGGAGGAGGAGGAGGAGGAGGAGGTGGAGCAGCCCCCCCAGACCCGCTCCCAGCGGCCGCGGCCCCCCTCGCACAGAGCACGGACCTGCGCCCTCTCGGGCCTCCGGGGCGGCCCCGGGCAGGCCACGCGGGGCCGCCAGGACGAGCCAGGATGCCTCCAGGACGGCGCCGAGGCGGTCCCAGGCGTACCCAAGACGCCCCCGAGAATCCTTGAGGGTCACAAGAGGACCTCTCAGCAGGTCCGAAGCAGCCCCCCCTCGAGTCATGAGGAACTCACGACGGGATGCTTGCCACATTTTTGTTGGGGTATCTGGAGGCCCTCACCGGGCCTCGGGACCGTCGACAAAAACACAACTCGGGATGACAGACCGATCCCGGGGAAGGGGTCCAGACCTCTGGGGCTCGACGTCGTGAAACAAACCACGACGTCGGGCGTCTGGGTATATTGAGCAGGGACCGACCGTCCCGGCATTTCTATAGTCCTACCACGAAATGTTCTTAGAACCCACAAATGTTCCAATAACAAAAACAATGTTCTTAGAACATAAACCCGATGTCCGCCAGAAATGTTCTAAGAACATTTCGTGGAAACCACAAAAGGTTCTTAGAACATTGCTTAGAACATTGTTCGGTATGGCTATAGGCGAGCCAGGACGCTTCGCCACTGCTTGAGTGTACCCCCCCCCCGCGCTTTCTGGGGGGAGGTTGGGGGCCCCCTCCGCCCGGGAGCCCCCAGCAGCGGAGCGAGACCCGCCCCCCCCTCCGCCCCCTGGAGCTCGTGGGGCGGTGCGGGCATAGGGCCCGCGTGTGGCCGCCCGCGCTCCAGCTCTCCCCGCAGCCGCAGCTCGGCCCCCCGCTCCTCCGCGGCCCGCTCCTCCGCGTCCCGCGCGGCGCGCTCCAGCCCCCCCTGCAGCTGCCGCTCCGCGCCCTCGGCGCTGGCGCGGTGCGCCGCCGCGGCCAGCTCCGCCTGCGCCAGCTCCGTCTGGAGCCGGCTCGCCGCGGCCAGCTCCTCCGCCAGCCTCTCGTCGGCGGCCCGCGCGGCCTGCGCCAGCTCCGCCTGCCACGGCTGCTGCGGGCCTTCCGCGCCGGCGGCGTGCTCGCCCGCAGCCAGCTCCGCCTGCGACAGCTCCTCTCGCAGCCTCCGCTCCGCCGCCACGGCCCCAGCGGAGCGCTCGTCTGCGGCACGCACCTCCTGCGACAGCTCCAGCAGTCGCTGCTCTGCCGCCTCCGCGCCGGCAGAACTCGCATCTGCGGCACGCGTCTCCTGGACCTGCCAAAGCTCCTCAACCAGTCGCCGCTCCACAGCCTCCGCGGCAGCGGCCCTCTGGTCGGCAGCCTGCAGCTCCTGCGACAGCTCCTCTCGCAATTGCCGCTCCGCCGCCTCCGCGCCGGCGGAACAATCGTCCGCGGCCCGCGCCTCATGCGACAACTCCAGCAGTCGCTGCCCCGCCGCCTCGGCGCGGGCAGAACTCGCGTCTGCGGGACGACTCTCCTGGACCTGCCATAGCTCCTCCAGCAGTCGCCGTTTCATCGCCTCTGTTGCAGCAGAACGCTCGTCGGCTGCCCGCAGCTCCTGCGACAGCTCCTCTCGCAGCCGCCGCTCCGCCGCCTCCGCCACGGCGGAACGCTCGTCCGCGGCCCGCGCCTCCTGCGACAGCTCCTCAAGCAGTCGCTGCTCCGCCGCCTCCGCCACTGCGCAACGCTCGCCCGCGGCCCGCGCCTCTTGCGCCAGCTCTTCCCGTAGCTGCCGCTCCACCGCCTCCTCGCGCCTCGCACCCACCCCGGCATCGGCCACCTCCGCCCTCGCGAGCGCCGCCCCAGGGACCTGCGGCGCACGCTGGGCCGAGCCCTCGCCCTGCCCTGCGGAGGACAACACAACCTACCCACCCACCTCCAGCCAAGACCCCACTCTGAGCCTGGTGACCCAAGGGGTCTCCGCGCTGGGGGGGGGGGGGGGCTCCTCGGCCCCAAGAACCTGACCCCCCCCCGCCCAACCCCCAGCCATGACCCCCTGAATCACTGGGGGTCCTGGCTGGGGGCGGGGGTCATGCTGTGCTGCCCTCACCTGCACTCGGGCGGGCCGCCGAGCCGCGCTGGGCGGCGGCGCCGCCTCCGCGCCATACCTCGCCGCCCTGGCGCGGCGCCGCCCCAGCCGCGCCGAGCCCCAGCCCCGCCAGGCGCGCCCAGCGGCCGAGGGCCAGCACGGCCTGGGCGTGGCCGCTGGCCTCGGCCCAGTCCAGTGGCGTGCGGAAGTCGCCGTCCAGAGCGCCGGCGTCCGCGCTGGCCGCAAGCAGCACTTGAGAGCGTTTTTGTGTTCGGCTCTAGCAGGCTCACTTGCACGGCACTTCGCTCCCCGCCACCCACCCACCCATCCGCCTCCTGTTCAAGTGGCGCTGGGCCGAAGAGGCGCGCTCCTCCTCCTCCTCTTCCTCCTCTTCCTCCTCTTCCCCTCCTCCCCTTCCTCCTCTCCCCCTCCTCCTCCTCCTCCTTCCTCCTCCTCCTCATCTCCTCCTCCCCCTCCTCCTCCTCCTCCTCCTCCTCCTCGCCCCCTCCTCCTCTCCCCTGCCATCCTCCCCCTCCTCCTCCTCCTCCCCTCCTCCTCCTCCTCCTCCTCCTCCTCCTCCTCCTCCTCCCCCTCCTCATCCTCTCGCCCCTGCCCCCCCCCCTCTCGCTCCGCGCAAGCAAACTTGCCAGGACCTATACGCAAAGCGGGCACCTTCCACGACCTCCACGTGGCCCTGCCCCGCGGCCACCTCAGCAGCCCGAGGGCCAGGGCAGCCCGTGTCGGGTCGGCTTTCGGGAGGAGGGCGGCGTGAGAGCCAGAGGTGGCACAGCAGCGGCGAAGCACGGGGGGGGCAGGAGCAGGACAAGCTGGCGGAGCAGGAGGAACTGGCAGTGGGTGTGCGGCAGGAAGGTGGTGGCATGATGTGCGTCGTCCTAATCAGGTGATCTTTGATCTCACCACGGTCATCGTGTCACGATGCTCGACCGAGGCCGAGGCGTGGGCAGACGTGCCTGGATGCAGCCCTCTGTGGAAGTTGCAGAGGTTATCTCCCCCCTGCTTGGAAGGGGACTCGCTGCACCCGCCAGCGACCAGAGGGCGGGAGGGAGAGAGAAGGGGGGGGGACGGAGAGAGGGACAGAGGGAGGGAGGAACAACTAAGGCGAGTTAACCTGTTTATAGATCTTCTTTGAGGCGGACGAATATACATGTACGCACGTGCTGGAGGCACTCGCGTCGCAATCAAGCGAAGAACAGCGGGTCGCCCTGAGGGGATGTGGGTGTGGAATGAGGGGTGGTAGCGCAACGCCGTGAGGACGACGTGCGACGAGTAAAAGTTGGACGGGCTGGGGGTAGGGAAACGTGACACGTGTGTGTGTGTGTGTGTGTGTGTGTGTGTGTGTGTGTGTGTGTGTGTGTGTGTGTGTGTGTGTGTGTGTATGTGTGTCTGTGTGTGTAACGTAGCGCCGTGGAGACGACGACGACGACGACGACGACGACGACGACGACGACGACGACGACGACGACGACGACACACCGACGACGACGGCGACGACGGCGACGACGACGATGACACCGACGACGACGGCGACGATGACGACGACGACGACGACGACGACACCGACGATACCGACGATACCGACGACACCGAAGACCGACGACCGACGACTATGAAAGTCCTCGGGGGGGAAATGACAGGTGTCTGGCCGCCAGGAGCGATGTTCTCCCCCCCCCAGAGGGCTGGGAGGAGGGGGGGAGGGCCCCCCCTGCATATGATTCCAGAAACCCCACGAGGGGAGGGACACCGAAAGGGGGAGAAAAGGGGGAGGGGGATGCATGGGGAGAGAGAGAGAGAGAGAGAGAGAGTGGAAGAGAGAAAAGGGGGAGGGGAGCCGCGCGCAAAAGGGGGTAGGGGGAGGGGGGGGGGCTCCTCAGAAGGAGGCTGCTTCTCAGAGGGCGCTGGCCTGGCATCTACAGACAAAGCCCGCGCTTCTAGGGAACAGGGGTGTTTTTAAGAAGCCAACCCCCTTCCCCAAACCCCTCCTGCGCGTGGCCGAAATCACGCGATCGACCATGGAGGTCCATATTGAACAACAGCCAAGGGAGGCACGAGGGCCGTGCCGTAGCGTGCGGGGATCGTCCGGTGGCACATCGTCCTGCGACTTGCCGTCGCTCTGACGTCCATTCCCCGTGCACGATTCGGTGTCGCGCGTACTTTTCCTCTGAGGATCCAACATGCTCCTCGATGGTCCCCGCCGAGAAAAACAAGCGCACGTCCCAGCGATGCCGAGGCATTGCCCAGTGACCAGCACAGATCCCGAAGACCTCATGGATGATCCGACGGAATGCTGCTTGGAGAGGCGTGGTTCTAAGTCGGGCACGTCCCCCTACAGGGAGATTTTGGGTGAAAAATGAAAAATACCCTCAGAAATGCCCCAAACATGGTCAAACATACTCAAACAATAGTCCCTGGAACAATAGTCCCTGGAATATTTTTTGTCTACTTTTGAATATTCGCCCTGTAGAAAGACAAACCCGACGTAAGCGTAGTTTGGTCTTGCCGACATGCCTGGCCAGGCCGCGCGGGTCGCCCCGAGCGCCCGAGGCGCCCTCGGAAACTGGCCACAGCCCCAAATCGCCCCCCCCTCATCCGGCGGTGGACAAACCTTGGGAATGTCTGGGGGGTCGGGTCTGTAGGAGAGCCCGCAGGAGCGTCGGGAGGGCCGTCTTAGTCGCTCGTTGCCGTGGCTCTTGGTTCGCACCTTTTCGCGTCAACGTGCTCTTGGTGCGCGAAATGTCTGGTCCAGATTTCCTTTGCACCGAAG